TCCTTTCTCCAGTTTTCCAGGAATTTCTTTGGTAAACACGTTTCCTGTTTTCTGTTTTCCAGTTTTCCAGTTTTCTAGAAAACTGGAAAATACTTCTGTTAGTAAACAGACCCTTAGGTTCTTTCTCTCCAATCTTTCCAACAAATGGGTTCGACTGCTTCTCCAGAGCGGGTCAGAGAAGCTACCATATATAAACAAAAACATAATTTCCTTAGCTTATTTCTGGAGCCTCATCTGTTATTTAATTTTTTCTAAATGAAAGCAACTAATTAAATAATGACAAGTTTCACAAACACAAGAGATTAAAAAAAACATTCTGCGTAATTATTAATGCCAGAGGTTAACTTTTACTACATTGATGTTGGGCATTTACACGGACGCGCATCGCGCGTTACTAAACTAGTATATATCTAAAGAGAGTGGATGACTGAATGAAGATGTAGACATTGTTGCTCAATTTAAATTTGATAGTTCGCCATCTGATCAAGGGATTGCACAATGACATCATCTTTTCAATCCTTACTAAACTTTCCGTCATTATAAAAGGCTTAATAGACTCAATGAGAATATTTTGTACGTCTTTATTTACTGTTTTCATTTCTGCATTTTACCATCTCAAATTGTACGCTTTCATTTTTATCCCCATGTAAATATCTTCTTGTTACTTATAATACTTAATAAATGACGATCAGGAGTCTGCACTTGCCGCATTTATTTTGATGATTTATATGATCTTTTGGATTTATAAAAAGTTTAGTGGTCATTAGATTTCAATAGTGGTGACGCGACGACAATAGGTTGCATGGAAACAACGGTGAGTCTTTGGGCAACAATAATGACGATTAGTTTATCCTTATTAGATATATAGTGAGCATTATGATCTTATTAGATACTCTCCCTTTTCCAAAAAGGTTTGTCAAATTGACATTTATTTTTCAAAGTTTATCAATTTTGATCAATGATTTTTCCAATATGAAATTATTTTGAATGAAAATTATAGTAAAATGTACCTTACTCAAATGTATTTTCAGAAAAGTATAAAATTTATAAATTATATACACCTATATAATTAAAATCATTGTTCAAAGTTTGTAATTATTGACTTAGAAAAGTCAGTATGACAAACCATTTCGGGATGGAAGTAATAAAATAGGTGTTATTGAATGAAAAAAGATTGCATGTTTTAGACTTTAACATGACGATTTTTATTTTTATGACATATTTACTGGTTAAATGCTCATTAAAAATGTCAAGCAACACATTCTGAGATATATATAAATAAATAACAAATAGCATATCTCATACTACCCGTATTAGATTAGCAGCAATACGTCAATGATCATAAATCCATATTACTATTATTATCATTATAATTTTTATTATTTTTATTAATACTATTATTATTACTATATTTATTATTATGATGATTATTATTATTACTATCGTCGTCGTCGTCATCATCATCACCACCACCACCACCACCACCATCATCATCGTCGTCGTTGTCATCGTCATCATCGTCATCACCACCGCCGCCGCCACCACCACCACCACCACCATCATCATCATCGTCATCATCGCCATCATCGTCATCATCATCGTCATCATCGTCGTCATCATCATCATAGTCGTCGTCATCGTTGTCGTCGTCAACTCGTCATACTTTTTTAAAATTTGGAAATTTTAAATTCCTAGGTTTTTTTACCCGTGCCGTGCACGAGATAAAATACATTTGAATATATATCTAAAGAGAGCGAATGACTGAATGAAGATGTTGACATTGTAGCTCAATTTAAATTTGATAGTTCGCCATCTGATCAAAGGATTGAACAATGACATCATCTTTTCAATCCTTACTAAACTTTCCGTCATTATAAAAGGCTTAATAGACTCCATGAGAATATTTTGTACGTCTTTATTTACTGTTTTCATTTTTGCATTTTACCATCTCAAATTGTACGCTTTCATTTTTATCCCCATGTAAATATCTTCTTGTTACTTATAATACTTAATAAATGATGATTAGGAGTCTGCACTTGCCGCATTTATTTTGATGATTTATCTTTTGGATTTATAAAAAGTTTAGTGGTCCTTAGATTTCAATAGTGGTGACGAGACGACAATAGGTTGCATGGAAACAACGGTGAGTCTTTGGGCAATAATAATGGCGATTAGTTTATCCTTATTAGATATATAGTGAGCATTATGATCTTATTAGATACTCTCCCTTTTCCAAAACGGTTTGTCAAATTGACATTTTTTTTTCAAAGTTTATCAATTTTGATCAATGATTTTTCCAATATGAAATTATTTTGAATGAAAATTATAGTAAAATGTACCTTACTCAAACGTAATTTCATAAAAGTATAAAATTTATAAATTATACACACCTATATAATTAAAATCATTGTTCAAAGTTTGTAATTATTGACTTAGAAAAGTCAGTATGACAAACCATTTCGGGACGGAAGTAATAAAATAGGTGTTATTGAATGAAAAAAGATTGCATGTTTTAGACTTTAACATGACAATTTTTATTTTTATGACATATTTACTGGTTAAATGCTCATTAAAAATGTCAAGCAACACATTCTGAGATATAAAAAAATAACAAATAGCATATCTCATACTGCCCGTATTAGATTAGTAGCAATACGTCAATGATCATACGTCAATGATTATTATTATTATTATTATTATTATTATTATTATTATTATTATTATTATTATTATTATTATTATTATTATTATTATTATTATTATTATTATTATTATTATTATTATTATTATTATTATTATTATTATTATTATTATTATTATTATTATTATTATTATTATTATTATTATTATTATTATTATTATTATTATTATTATTATTATTATTATTATTATTATTATTATTATTATTATTATTATTATTATTATTATTATTATTATTATTATTATTATTATTATTATTATTATTATTATTATTATTATTATTATTATTATTATTATTATTATTATTATTATTATTATTATTATTATTATTATTATTATTATTATTATTATTATTATTATTATTATTATTATTATTATTATTATTATTATTATTATTATTATTATTATTATTATTATTATTATTATTATTATTATTATTATTATTATTATTATTATTATTATTATTATTATTATTATTATTATTATTATTATTATTATTATTATTATTATTATTATTATTATTATTATTATTATTATTATTATTATTATTATTATTATTATTATTATTATTATTATTATTATTATTATTATTATTATTATTATTATTATTATTATTATTATTATTATTATTATTATTATTATTATTATTATTATTATTATTATTATTATTATTATTATTATTATTATTATTATTATTATTATTATTATTATTATTATTATTATTATTATTATTATTATTATTATTATTATTATTATTATTATTATTATTATTATTATTATTATTATTATTATTATTATTATTATTATTATTATTATTATTATTATTATTATTATTATTATTATTATTATTATTATTATTATTATTATTATTATTATTATTATTATTATTATTATTATTATTATTATTATTATTATTATTATTATTATTATTATTATTATTATTATTATTATTATTATTATTATTATTATTATTATTATTATTATTATTATTATTATTATTATTATTATTATTATTATTATTATTATTATTATTATTATTATTATTATTATTATTATTATTATTATTATTATTATTATTATTATTATTATTATTATTATTATTATTATTATTATTATTATTATTATTATTATTATTATTATTATTATTATTATTATTATTATTATTATTATTATTATTATTATTATTATTATTATTATTATTATTATTATTATTATTATTATTATTATTATTATTATTATTATTATTATTATTATTATTATTATTATTATTATTATTATTATTATTATTATTATTATTATTATTATTATTATTATTATTATTATTATTATTATTATTATTATTATTATTATTATTATTATTATTATTATTATTATTATTATTATTATTATTATTATTATTATTATTATTATTATTATTATTATTATTATTATTATTATTATTATTATTATTATTCTTATTATTATTATTATTATTATTATTATTATTATGATTATTATGATTATGATTATTATGATTATTATGATTATTATTATTATTATTATTATTATTATTGTTGTTGTTGTTATTATTGTTGTTATTATTGTTGTTATTATTGTTGTAAAAGGAACGTGCACTTTGTCACGGTGCGTCAAAATAAATTCAATACTAGCACTTATACGTAGTATAGGTGAAGTAGAGTTCGTATCCACAGGAAAAGGAATAACTCTCTTTTTATGAACTAGTAAATAAAGGGGGGTTTTGATTGAGTGATTTAATTAAAATTAAACACGAAGATGAAGGACTTATATGAGATTTAATTCAAAGATAAAAAGGACTTGACATTGCTACTTTCCACTTGTTGATATATTTTAGTCGATCATTGTTATATCTATAACTTATCCCCTCTCGAATACTCAATCGAGGAGTATATCCAATTCATCGAGGGTAGTTATTAACGACCGTTCATTAATAACCCTTACTATTAGTCAAGTATAGAACACCGCCATATACCGACTTGATAGTAGCATTTAATCTCTTAACTCCTTGATGAAATCAATTGAGATTGATAACCTCAACACAACGGTTTTGGTTTAACCAACAAAATTAATCCCTCTTAAGTTTATTAATCACGACCGAGCATTAATAAACCGAAGTTACTTACTTGTGAAACCATCAACGATTAACCATCGGTTCGTTGATCGTTTCTAGTAGTAATTAATGTCGAGATGTTAACTAATTGTCATCTTAGCAACATCAAAGTATCAATTGCAGTGGTTCAGCCTCAAAGTATCAAACTATAATTGAAGAAAGAATGTAGCCTCAAAGTATATGGTTTTACGTTTTTCTTGGATATTTTCAAATAATAATATTAGTTGAGGTGTGATTACATTTTAGCACATTATAATAAATCTCTTAAAACAGCAAAACCAAAATCTGTAAACTGGTAGCCAGAATGAGGGGCCCAGAACAATGGAGCACAAGTAAAGTCGTTTTGTGTGCATGAGGAGAGAAATTTCACCTCAAAGGGACCAAAAGCGCATACCTTATAATCCGCAATTTGAAAAAGTTTCAGCGTGTTGCAAGCTGCACATAAGTGCTCCGGTTTTGAAGTTTTGAAGGAAACAGTACCCTGATGCCCATCTATCCTGAAATTCTTAGGCCTCTCTATATGGTGGTCCAAAGTTCTACGAAGCTCATAATAGCTTGTTTGTTGAAAAAGAAGAAAGGAGATCAACATACCCAATGAGAACGAATTCTTGTAAACCGAAATAATAAACTGAACAACTGAAAACATATATAGCTTATGAAATTTTAATCAATTTAATATTTCCGTTTATGTTTTTAGCTAAGGCTAGGGATGAACTTCTATGCCCACTAGGTGTTTGATAAAAGTTCTAAACCAATAAATTGTGATTTATCCTTTACATTTTGATTGTTTATGACTATGGTGTACAACATAGAAGTATGTTAAACTTAGTTTATGCTTGCAATTAACGTTGAAGTCTAAACTATGAACACTAAAGGATAACTGTATATATTACCGAGAATAGAAATATATCCGGTATTATATGATACGGGTGTGATGTCTTGATATTCAACGGGGTTTTCGGTAGATGAATGTAAGCCGTAACGGGACTTACACGTAACGAAAACCACGCTCTCGTTGCCTTAACCGGAGTTGAGAATATATTAGCGACATCGTATTCATAATTATTGGTAAAGAACTAATATTCAACCCTATTAAAGCATTTAAGTGATTCCCGAAGCCTTAGCCGTTGTTATCATTCATTTTAAACCCGAATTAATTAAAAGTTGTTTCCTTGAATTAAAAGTGAAAAGCCAAAAATACAAAACACAAATCAAAATCCCTGCACTTTACTCATTTATTTATTTGAAAGTCATCTACTCTCGGACTAAATTAAACAATGTTTCCCTGTGGATTCGACCCGGTATTTTACCGGAATTTATTACTATATCGGTACTTGTACACTTGCAAGTTCAAACCGGTCAAGTTTTTGGCGCCGTTGCTGGGGAAACGGTCTTGTTTAATAAAGTCCAAACAATCAAGGTTCTAAAATTCTTGAACCACTTGATCTTGAAATAGAAAAAACTTGCAAACACATTCGAAGGGAGCAAAAAGCTACAAAGATGTTGCCAACTTTGAATGAGAGGAAGAGGCCCGTGGTTGCCACCACTCCCTCATGTATTGTCCTAAGCGAGGCGGCTCGGGACTATGAAATGAAAAATAGCTATTTCAATGCTATGCCTCAATTTCATGGTCTTCCGGGGGAGAATCCACTTAACTTCATCACCGAGTTCTATGGGTTCATCCAAGGAATCCCTAGACATGGTCTCACCGAGGATGATCTCAAACTTAAAAGCTTCCCCTGCACTTTGAAAGGGGCAGCAAGGGGATGGTTCTTGGAGCAAGCACCGACAAGTTTTACAACGTGGGAAGGTATTTATAATGCTTTCATTTCCAAGTATTACACACCCACTATGACTCAAGAGCTAAGGCAAAGAATTTTCAACTTCAAACAACAAGTTCGTGAATTATTCCAAGACGCATGGAGGCGTTTTAAATCATTGCTAAGGGAATGCCCACATCATCGCATTCATCTTGATCTTCAAATTGACACATTCTACAATGGTTTGAACTCTTCTTGTCAAGCCATTGTAGATAACCGTGCGGAGGGCTATATTGGCAATAAAACTGAAACGGAAGCATTGAGAATCCTTGAATCTATTGCTTCACATTCTCAAGTACAAGGAGGAGATGTCAAATTGGCCGGTGTGAGCGAGGTGTCTATAGCTCATGAATTAGACAAGCGGTTTGCTGATTTTCAACAAGCCATGCACAAAGATCTTCAAGCTTCTATTCACACGGCTCTACAAGCCATAATAGGAGGGGCTAGTCGAGTGGCAAAGGTGGAAAGCATAGCGCAACCGGAAGGTAATTCACCTCAAACTCTTGAAGAAGTGAATTATATGAACTCATATGGGAATAGGGGGAATCAAGGAGGCAACAACCACAACAATCAACAAAGGTTTAACCAAGGTAATTCTTGGAGACCACAAGGAGGCCCTTCTAACCCCCCATTCAATTTTGCGCAAGGGCAAAAAGAGCAAACAATGGAAGAGATGATGAAAGCTCTCACTCAAAATGTTGTGGCTATAAAAGCCCAAAATGAGGAGAATCATAGTAGAGTGGAGGCATCCATTGGGAATCTCCACTCTCAATTCACCAAGTTGGATCTTCGCTTTGAAGATCAAAATATGAAGCTCAACCAACGCATCGACACCATCGAGCAATATACCAAGGCATCCATCCGGAATCTTAAAGTTCAAATAGGGCAACTCGCTCAAAAAGTGAGTTCTAGAGAGCAAGATAAATTCCCTACAACAACGGAAATCAATCTTAGGGAAAGCGTCATGGCCATTACCGCAAGAAGTGGGAAACAAACGGAGGACCCCAAGATGTCGGAAAAGAGAAAGACGCTGGAGGAACAAGAAGATGCTACACATACACCACTCCCACCTATCATGGCCCAATATGTTCCCCCCATCCCTTACACACAAAACTTGAAGAAAGGAGATGAGAAGAAACACAAGAAAATTCTTGATATTTTCAAGAAATTGAGCATCAACATACCTTTTGCGGAGGCCATTGCGGAGATTCCATCATACGCAAAATTTCTCAAAGGTATCATCTCCAACAAAAAGAAGTTAGAGGAATTCGCAACCGTGGCACTAACGGAGGAATGTAGTGCTATTATCCAAAACAAACTTCCTCCAAAACTAAAAGACCCCGGAAGCTTCACTATTCCATGCTCTATCGGAAAAGTCGGGGAGGTAAGGTCTCTTTGTGACCTTGGTGCTAGCATAAATCTCATGCTCTACTCCCTATTTAAAAAGCTAAGTGTGGGGGAACTCCAACCAACAACGGTTGCTTTGCAATTAGCGGATAGAACAATCCGCTATCCGATAGGCATCATGGAGGATGTCCTTGTCAAAGTTGGAAAATTCTACTTCCCGGTAGATTTTCTTGTGTTGGACATGGAAGAGATGGAAGTTCCCGTCATCCTTGGGAGATCTTTTTTGGCCACCTCCGCAGCCATCATTGATGTACAAGCAGGCACTGTAAGGCTAAGAGTGGGAGGAGACGATGAAACATTCCATGTATGGAAAACACAATCCATTCCAATTCAAAACATGGAGGTTAACACAAATCCTTTTACTCCTGCCAAGGCCATAAACATCATGGACATCAAGGAGGCACAAATATTTGGGCCCGAGGACCCTCCAACACACCCCGGGAGCAAAAAGAACAGACCTCCAACCCCATGGCCTCCGCACGAGCTCAACCCAAAGGTAACATTGATCAAACGTCTTCAGGAGCCCAATCACACGTGAAAAGGTACGTTGCGTCCAGCCTATGACATAAAACTGAGCGCTAATTGGGAGGCAACCCAACAAATTCAATTATAAATAAATATGTTTGGTTAAATACATATTCATATTTATTTATAATTGAAACCCCAAAAAAAAAACAAAAAAAAAACAAAAAAAAAAGAAAAAGAAAAAAAGAGCATCATCTAAACTCATGTATCATGCATCTCCTACTCTCACAAGACGGCCCATTCCGCTATTGAAGATTTCATCCTCCATTGCATCCTCCAATGTACATTGAGGACAATGTATCTCAAGTGTGGGGAGTGCATTTCATGGTTAGTTAAACAAATTTTGTGTGCAAAAATAATTTTTTTTAGGAAGGTAAAATTTTCAAAAACCTATCATTTTTTGGTTGAGAAAGTTTTTTTTTAGAAAACTTTTTAGACGACTCTTTACTCTTGAAAATTATTCCAAAAAAATAAATTCTTGTGACTAGAAAGCATCTCCTTCCTTCATTTCCAAAAATGGTCAAATACTACATTCAAGCACCATTTTGGAACTCAAAACCCACTCTCACACCTCATCAAATAAATTTGCATCATCAAATGACTTTCAGTAAATAGTAGTTGAAGACCTTTTCAAATGAGTTTAAAAAAAAGAAAAAAAAACTCATTGTCTCATCTAGGAAGTTCAATTGATTCATACAACTTAAAAGTCAAAAACACCAAAAAGTCATCCTACTCACCCAAAAAACCATAGTCACAAATCATTCCTTTATTTTCAAGAGTATAACTAGTTTTCTAAATCTAAATGATATTTTTTGTGTTTAATTGAAAAAATGGTTTTTGGACCGAGAATGATAAAAGAGTTTATATGTCATTTTTATCTCTCTTAAAAATTGATTTATTTTTGTTCATATATTTTTGTTGAAACTAACCAAGGCATCCAAAGGTGAAGAAATTGCTTGAGGACAATCAATGCTCAAGTGTGGGGGGATTTGATAGCCGTTATATTTACTTGTGTTTAACATAAGTATTTATAAGTATTTGTTGAAGAAAAGAAGAGAAATCGGGCAAATACTTCCAGAATGAGAGCTAGAGCATAAAACATTGCGATGAACGACTTTTTGGACCAAGAGAATGACGTTCTGCCCATACTTTGAGTATAACTTATTCTATAGAACTCGAAATCACTCGATTCAAGTTTCATGTGAGTGCTAACTCAATAAGGTACAAATGTTATGAAGACGTCATGGCCAAAATATGAAAGTAACAAGACTCAATCAACCAACAAAGTCAGATGTTGCTGGTGGGATTTCAGGATGCATACCTCTCAGTGTTTTATCCATATCTTTTGATTGGCTGAATAAAATCACGTCATTCAAGTTTTGGTGGATAGCAGACTTCATTAGCTACAACTTTGATGAAGGACTCACGTCCAAATTCGTAGCGGAACATCCCCAAAATTCCAGGACAAAACCGGCGCCGGAATTTCACCAAACCGGCGCCGGTTGCATTTAATCCGTTATTCTCCCGGTCAGCCGAAGTATAACCGGCGCCGGTTTTCCCCTATAACCGGCGCCGGTTATGGTGTTTTTCACTATTATTCCATCCGCGAAGTAAAACCGGCGCCGATTAAGCCCGAATCTGCAGAATACAAAGAGACGTGCAGCCATATCTTGATGGGAAAAACCCACTTTCCTTATGATCTGATCAAATATATCTTCCATGCTTGATTGTTGGGCTCAAATAGACTAAAAGATGCCAATCTTTAGCCTATATAAAGCCCCCAATTCATCAAACAAGATCATCATTCCATTCTTGAAGATTAAATTTCAGTTTTTATATTTCCTTTTTGCATTCTCTTGAAGTGTTGGAGAAGAAGTCATTTCTCTCCTCTACAATTGGTTCTAGGTATTATTTCTTTTATGTTATTGTATTTCCTTTATCTTAGTTACACTTTTGTAATTAATATGAGCATTAGAGGCTAAGTTCTTAGCTAAGGCTAGGGATGAACTTCTATGCCCACAAGGTGTTTGATAAAAGTTCTAAACCAATAAATTGTGATTTATCCTTTACATTTTGATTGTTTATGACTATGGTGTACAACATAGAAGTATGTTAAACTTAGTTTATGCTTGCAATTAACGTTGAAGTCTAAACTATGAACACTAAAGGATAACTGTATATATTACCGAGAATAGAAATATATCCGGTATTATATGATACGGGTGTGATGTCTTGATATTCAACGGGGTTTTCGGTAGATGAATGTAAGCCGTAACGGGACTTACACGTAACGAAAACCACGCTCTCGTTGCCTTAACCGGAGTTGAGAATATATTAGCGACATCGTATTCATAATTATTGGTAAAGAACTAATATTCAACTCTATTAAAGCATTTAAGTGATTCCCGAAGCCTTAGCCGTTGTTATCATTCATTTTAAACCCGGATTAATTAAAGTTGTTTCCTTGAATTAAAAGTGAAAAGCCAAAAATACAAAACACAAATCAAAATCTCTGCACTTTACTCATTTATTTATTTGAAAGTCATCTACCTTCGGACTAAATTAAACAATGTTTCCCTGTGGATTCGACCCGGTATTTTACCGGAATTTATTACTATATCGGCACTTGTACACTTGCAAGTTCAAACCGGTCATGTAGCACGGAAGTACGGAACCATGAAAAGCAAAACGTGAACCGGATATTTATATTCTTTCATTTAAATGTATACATGTTTTTTTCAATTATATGTATTCACTTTTTTCTTTGGTGGATACCTATACTAAAAACATTCTACACGTTCAAATTTAGAAATTATTACATGTCAGTACACAATTAAACATATAATGAAAAACTAGTGTCAATATCAATCTAATGCAAGTTCTACTTTTTAAGAGAAAAGTCCAACCATTATTGGTTGAAAAACGAAAACATTTGAATAGATATAAGCATAAGATCTCTATTATTTGAAGCTAGTGCATGTGTGGATAACCAAAGTGATATCCAAAACGGGTTTTGAATTATCAAAATACAACACAATAATAGTAATTACTTTCATGTTGGAAAATATTACTAATTACGATAGCATATTGCGTGTCATAATTAAGTATCTAATATATTGTGTTATATATGAAATATCACAGTACGTGTTATTAGAAAGAAATACCATATAAAACACTATTTTTTAAAAAATATGCACTATTTTTCTTCAAAGAAATAATTCTATCAAAATGATGAAGAAATTTAAAAACTCTAAGTTTTATAAAAGCTAATTATTTAATGGGTTCAGTTTCACAATGCTTAAATCTTAATTACGGATCAACGGATGGCACCGAAATGGAAGTTTGAAGTCTCTGTCTGACCTTCTGATACCGCAAATTATGAGCGTATGACCGGTATACGGTGACCACCATATACCGGTCTTTATTTTTGGCAAGCAGCGTATATGGTATTTTTGACTTCTTTATTTTTTATTCCTTTTGTTGTTAAAAATTGTAATAACTTTTTTATTTCATATCCGATTTTTATAAATTTTATATTAAATTTTATTATTTTTCATGATCTATCAAATGAGACCAATATTGCTTATGTAATTTTAACAAATTATCAAACTATTATATAAATGATTATTGGATTATAAGGGAAACCGAACTAAATTTAATGCAGAAAAATAATTGTGTAAATCACAATTTATCTTAAAATTGTGTATATAAAAAATTTATTGTATTATGTATTTATACATGTGAGTTACATATTTTTATATCTAAAGTTACATATTTGTACACGTAAAGTTACATATTTATACACACGAGTTGGATTTGGCCTGCCTGAACGCGAGTTACATATTTTTACACGTAAAGTTTCATATTTATACACGCGAGTTACATATTTATACACACAAGTTATATTTGACCTGTCTGAACGCGAGTTACATATTTTTACACGTAAAGTTACATATTTTTACAGTTACATATTTATACACACGAGTTGCATTTGGCCTGACTGGACGTGAGTTACATATTTCTATACGTAAAATTACATATTTTACATAGGTTAATATAATAGTTCGATAATATGTTAAAATTACATAGGCAATATTGGTCTCATTTGAAAGATCATGAAAAATAAAAAATTTTGATATAAATTTTATAAAAACCAGATCACAAATGAAAAAGTTATTATAGTTTTAACAATAAGAGAAATAAATAAATAATAGGACCCACTATCATTTTTAGTACATGTTTCATGCTGAGCTTCCAAAGATGCCTAAAACCATATGCCGGTATACGGTGCCGGTATACGGTGCTCACCATATACTGGTCATACGGGATAACAACTGTTCTGATACACTTCTAGGTTTTTGAAATGGAGAAACGTGAACTATGAGAAGTTTTCGTGCTTCTAGGTATCTAGGATAAGGAAATTCGAGAATGGGTGTATGTTGGGTTAATGGCCCAAGCCGAGGTCCGGCCCATTAACCCCCTTTTTACCAGACGCACGTCCAGTAAGAACACAAGGTTAGCCGCAGGCCCATGTTCCTTGGGAAGGGACGAACGTCTTGTGTTGAGGGCTTTTAGGCCCAACGGCCCATCGCGACGGACGTCTATGCAGGGACAAGGAGCAGGACCACGGGCCACCAGGGATGACGACGGACGTCTCCTGAGCAAGCCCGTAGTCATCGGAGGAAATCCAGTCCACATGGTGAGAATCCATTAAGGCCAGGAGACGAACAGCCGAAACCTCTTGAGGATCATTTGGCGCGATCCAGCTCGCTTCCCGGTCGGACGAACGTCCCCACTATTTAGGCGGGAAACCTAGATTCTGGCGGGAAGCGCATTTAATGCTGAAGATTTGGTGGTTGGGATACCAGCGGTCCACAGGCCTCCACGTCAGCATAGCCACCTGCCCATTGGTGGGTATAAATAGAAGCATTTATTTCATTGTAAAGGGTTGGCAACTTTCTATTCTTAGCACTCTAGCTATAGTATTCTTACTCGCAGCACTTCTACTGCCTTGTAAGACGAACGGCCGACGGAGCCTTAGCGAAAAGTATTGTATTAGGGAGTTATTAAGAGATAATAATACCTAATCACTTACTTGCTACTTCTTGTTCTCTATAATCCATATCATCTGCTTGTTGGGCTAGTTTATTCACACACACTCCACTCGAGATCCTTGGGCTTACGTGTTGGACCCGAGGGTTGAAGGAATAAACCTCAACAGTGTAGTTTTGAAAAAAAAAATATCAAAACCTCAGAGAAACGATCACTCATTAGAAGGAAGATATTGAACATAAGACTAGAGCATCTTACAAGACGCTTTTGAGATTTGTAAAGTGTTAATTAAGGAGCGAAAGTAGGGAAAACTGTCATATAGGTCCTCGAACTTTCATAAAAAAGTCAATTAAGTCCTTCTATAGGAGACTCTATCCGGTCATCGCGATTTGGGGCGGTTCACGGTGGAATTTTTTGATGAAATTTTTAGAGCATCTTATTCATCAAGTCTAGTTTACTCATACCAAATTTTAGCTAAAAATTTAATCGGGAGCGCATTCAAATTAATTCGAGAACGCAAAAATGCGCAGTTATCTTCAAGAATTAATTTGAATGTGTTCCCGATTGAATTTTTAGCTGAAATTTGGTATGAGTAAACTAGACTTGGTGAATAAGATGATCAAAAAAATTCATCAAAAAACTCCACCGGGAACTACCCCAAATCGCGATGGCCGGACAGAACCTCCTATAGAAGGACTTAATTGACCTTTTTATGAAAGTTCGAGGACCTATTTGACAGTTTTCCCAGCGAAAGTATGCAGGATAATGTAGGCTTTATTTTGAAGAAAATATAGTCATAAGGACATTTCGTTTTCATATAAGTACTTACAAATTATAAAGTATTTTTTTAGTGTACTATAAAGTTATTATTTAAAAATCTTTCATTTTATTGGACCTTTCTTATGAGAATTTCTACCATTTTGAACCCCGCGGTGCAAAGTAAAATTGCAAGTAACAAATTTAAATCACCTATGTTTGTATGGAGACGGGTGCCTCGCGGTCGCACTAGACGGACGCATCGCCGCTGACACTCAGATAGGCAACTCAATGCTCGCACCCAGACGGACGTCTCGTCGCTCACACCTATAAGGATGGCTCGCCGCTCGTAGCCATAAGCATGGCTTGTTGTTCGCACTGCACCCGGACGGTCAGGAACTCGTCTCGCACCAGATGCTCCCTGCTCGCAGCTCGCTGACTCCTAGAATTTGAACTATTTATTCATAAATTGAATGTACCGAATCTTTTCTTACTTTTCATGTGAAGTTCACTTTTTATTTGAACTTTATTATATTGCCATCTATTGTTTATGTTGCTATTTAATTTTAACTTACCAATTACAAATGCATGATTATTACCAACAATTATTTTTATCTGTCACAAACTTCTTAACTCTGAAGTCATTGAGAAATGAAGAAATATAATACATTTCAAAGATACAATTATAGAAAGTTTTGTCATGTGTCATCTTTTGAGTAAACCTAATATATTAATTATACTTCCGTTATATTAATTAGTTAGATTAGAAGTCAAGTTATTACGTAATCTATTTAAATAACTATGCAATGTGTTGGGAATATACATAATTTAAAAATTAAAATCCCATATTTATTTTAGAGTGATATAATTTTTTTATTCTTACTCAGATTGTCACAAAAAATATATCAAAATTTATAACTTCTCATTATCTTTCATTTGACACCAATATTGAGTATATAAAAATCTATCTATAGATAATACATTTGAGAGATATAATTATGAAAAGTTTTGTCATGTGTCAAATTTAGAGCAATTTACTCAAAAGCCATATTTTCTCATAATGGTCATTCTCCTCATCAAACTTAGATTTATAAATTGCCTAGACTCCTAGAGTAAAATCAATTGGTCCCATAACAATTTCATAAATAAATACTCCGATATATAAGATTGCTATTGCAACCCTTTTCTATAAAATTTTACTTGGTTTTTATGGATGCAAAAATAATGGCACTCAAATGCAATTACAATCAAACACATATTCTCCACCATATAATTGCTAATAGATTAGAGAAAAATTATACTAATAGATTAAAGAAAAATTATATAAAAATAATTAAAATGAGCTTCTACAATAACTTCAGTCAATTTAGTCAAAAAAGATAAATCTAATTTTATATATTTTGATTGTTATCCAAATCAACATGAAGAATGGAAAGTTACATGTTTATAAAAAGGTTGTATGATAAGATAGATAAGCTGAAAAGAGAGGTTGTCAAACAGGCTTTTAAATTTGATAATTGAAACATAAGCATATCAAACTATCTCCCATATTTAGAAAAGAAAAATGATCTAAATTTTATGACCTAATAATACTATATCAAACGCCACTTTCAGAATTACAATATGATTCACATATATGCAATTAATAAATCTTTCACGGATCTGAAACTCTCGACAAACATATTACACTAAAGTACAAATAACTTTTACTTTCGTAGATCAGATAAAAGGAATTGATTCCAATTGAAAATATCTTTAACTAGAGAGGTGAACACAAATTTGAAATCCCATTAAGATAAATGTGTATTTAGCAAATGTTAGCACATGCAACCTTATTTTTTACCCAGGTAAAAGATATTTTATTTTTTATTTTTATTATACTACGTAGAATGTAAGAATAGTATTTAAAAAAATATCAGACCAATCTAAATGACATTAAGTATATTAATTGTGAAAGCAACCAATCTAGCATGGAAATTCAAAAGTTATATGTTTATAAAAAGATTGTCTGATAAGATTTGATAAGCTGAAAATATAGGTTATCAAATGGGCTCTTAAATTTTTATAAACACGGAACTTTAGTTTCTTCACGCTTAATTGTGTAATAATTAAAATGCATATGTAAGGTTAGATCTACTTTTTCTACCGAATTGACTGAAGTTATTATAGAAGATCATTTTACATATTTTATATAATTTATCTTTCATCTATTAGTAAAATCAATTTTAAAAAATAGTTCTGATTATTACATAATTTAATGAGAAGAATCAAAAGTAACGTGTTTATTAAAAAGTTGACTGATAAAAAAAGTACAAAAGAGATATTATTAAACAGGCGCTTAACTTTTTTCTAGAATTGCACTATGTGTATCTGATAGTTTAGTAAAACCGATTAAAAGCTTACTTAACTTCCGAAAAAGTAAAATCTTCTGAATGTTTTCAATTATGAAAAACTCTCAATGTATGCATGTTTTCAATAATTTGAAATACAATACGATATTAAGTAATTATTCAAAAAAAATTATGCCTTAAACATCCCTCACAATAATCAAAGCAAAAATACAAAGATTTCAAATCAAGTTATTTTAATTGCTATACCTAAACTATCACGTAAGTTCGTAAATTAAAAAAGTATCATATAAATATGTTTACTTAAAAAATAGCGTCAATCAAGTTATTATAATTATTATATGTAAGGTTATTTAAAAAAAGTAAATGAAACGATTGCTTAATCTTATAAAAAAAACTTATAAATTTGAAAATAATGTAATAATAATAATAATATAAAATCAATATAAGTGTAAAAATAGATAAACATTTTAACATTATTAAAACAAAAAACATAAAGAAAAATCAGAAAAATGAAAAAAATAAAGTGAAAGCGTAAAAATATAAAATTAAGAGCTACAAGTACTCACGTACTTTTGATTACTAACTACTCTTTGGTGTGGGTTCTCTTTGGATAACATATGGTGGTGGTGGTGGTGGTGGTGGTGGTGGTGGTGGTGGTGGTGGTGGTGGTGGTGGTGGTGGTGGTGGTGGTGGTGGTGGTGGTGGTGGTGGTGGTGGTGGTGGTGGTGGTGGTGGTGGTGGTGGTGGTGGTGGTGGTGGTGGTGGTGGTGGTGGTGGACCTGGTGGTGGTGGTGGTGGTGGTGGTTGTTGAGGAAAAATATTAATTGTGATCAAGCTTGTCTGATGTCTTGTTTATTTATCTAGAATAGATTAACGTTTTAATGTATTTATGATGTAATAAATCCAACTAAGGGTTTAAGGCCCAAAAAGGCCTAGGCCCAGAGTTCTAGGTTACCATTCTCGGTACCTGTACCTGCGCCTATAAATACGCGTACTTGTGGTACAGGACCAAAAAAGGATAATCAGCAATACAGTACTATTTTATTCTCTAAAAGGTTTTCATACTTCTCGATAGTATAGCGTAAGGCTCTATTGCTCTTAGATTGATCATATCATTATCTAGACCTTACCTATATTGTTATAGATCGTATTTTGCTGTTCAATACATCCTTATTTTGGGACCAACAATTGGTATCAGAGCCGATCGAGGAAAAACTGCGAAGAATGCTCTGTTTTATGTTTTCGATATTTTATTGAATCTGTCTTTGTAAATCTGTTTTTGGACAATTCTGTGTAAAAGTTATACTGTTGGATTCGTCTTTCAAAAACGAACCAGCAGTATATCTTCATTTTCGATATCTGTAAAGTTTGAGATTTGAAGTTTTCGATATAGGCATATCGAAAAACAGGTTCTCGGTACTTCAGCAGGTTTTTCGAAGTTTGATTCATCCAGGAAGCTTCTCGACATCGAAAACAATTCAGCAGCAATCTTCGTTTTTCAAAATTTTGAAAATTTTTAAGTACAGGATTTCGACAGAATGATCTCGATACTGAGTTCTCGAACTTAGTTTTCGATACTAGCTTCTCGCACTAGTACTTTTCGATATTTATACTTTGAATATCTGATTTTGATATTACAGGTTCTCGACTTCAGTTCTCGATAATCAGTATATCGAAAAGTTTAGTTCTCGAAATTGAACTTCTCGATATCTGACTTCTCGATATCTCAGTTTTCGAACCTAGAATATCGAAAACCAAGTTTTCGAAGTCCTAATATCGAAAACTTACTTCTCGATAAACTTTCTCGAATTCCCTGTTCTCGAATATCTTTCTCGAGGTTAAACTTCTCGATATTCCATACTTAGAAATAATTATTTTCTAAAAACAGATCAATCACTCGAACGGTCACTTTCTCAAGAACAGCAGATATGGACGCTCTTTCAATGGGTAACGATAGCAGACCCCCTATCCTCAGGAGAGATGAGTACGTTATGTGGAAGAACAGATTTCTCAACTTCCTCGAGAGCAAACACAATTCCTCAGCTATGCTGGAATCACTGACAGAGGGTCCGGCTCAATTATGGATGGTTCTAGGAGGAGACGATGAAAATGAGCCCCCTGTCGACCAAGTGAAAGTTCCAAAACCAGTAGAGCTGTATACTGAAGAGGACAGATTGAGAGTCAAAGCTGATTTAATGGAAAAAACGTACCTACTCCAAGCAATTCCGAATGATATTTATATACTGATTGACAGTATGGATTCTGCTAAGGAGATGTGGGATGAAATCAGAAAGCTGATGGAAGGAACCAACCTAGGTTTGAAAAGCAAGAAGGCAAGCACTCTCACTGCCTATGATTCCTTCAAGGCTAGACCCGGTGAACCTCTGCATGAGATTTACAACAGATTTGTTAAGCTGGTGAATGATCTGAGAAAGATCAATGTGAACAAAGCTAACATGGAGCTGAACATACGGTTTCTATCAAGTCTGAACCCTGAATGGAAGAGGACAGTGAAGAATGTGAGACAGAATCTGGATCTTGATGAAGTTGATCTCTACACAATTCATGACCATCTACAGCAATTTGTGAATGACACTGCAGAGCCTGAAGAAAACAGAATTAATGATCCATTTGCTCTTGTACTGGAAACTCAAACGAGAAGTACAGCTAAGATGCAAAGGAAGAAGAAAGCTGCAGTCGTGTCTGAAGATGAAGAAAGCGATGAAGAAGTAGACGTGGAGTCGGAGCTGGTAGAGCTGCAGAAGAAAATGGCGCTCTTAACCAAGCAATTCAATAAGAAGTTTGTGAAGAAGAGTACTTCATCCAACAAGCTGAGAACTTCCTCATCCAACTACAAGCCGAAACAGCTTGAGCAAAATTCCTCAGAAAGAGCTGTTGCAGTAGAAGAAGCTCCCAAGTGCTTTAATTGCGGAAAGGGTGGACATCTGATCAAAGATTGTCGCCTACCAAGAAGAAGGGACTTCAACTATTATAAGCAGAAGATGCTCATGAACAAGCAGAAGATGTTCATGGCAAAGCAAGAAGATGAAAATGCTGCAATGCTCGCTGAGAAGGACCATTGGATGGAGGATAATTCTTCAGATGAGGAAGAAGAAAACTTGGCTTTGATGGCAATCGTGGAGAAAGATGAAAGAA